CAGGTGAAACTCCCCACCAATAGATGGAGCAGCCCGATTTGCAAAGCCTCAATTCCGGTGGTTCTCTTACCACCTCCGGGATAAAGGCATTGCATAATGGGTCTTAAAAAAAAGAAAAGAAAAGAAAAGAAAAAAAAACACCAAGGCCTAAATTTGTGCGTTGTGTGAATTTGATAGATATTTCCCCCCATCCTGAATGGGACGACGTCATCTATAGAAAAGGGTTGATCTCTGGGGAGGTCCAGAGTTAACATCACGTAGTCGTCCCTTTTTGCCACGTACGAGCGCAGCGGATCAACGAAATCAACTATCGCGTATTGTTGTCTGAGGTCCTATATGAAGCTGGCCTGCACTTCCACCGGGACATGCCGCAGTTCAACCCAAAAATAGTCTTTCATCATTTGTTCCCCTTTTTCCTCCGGAGTGAGTTTTTTGGGTTGCCATAGGTATATACGCACCTCCGATCTCTCCCGTCGAAGCCTCTTCCACCCATCCATTCGCTGCTTGTCTTGGGTGAACAAGTTTAAAATTGTGAAAACAGTCTACGATAGGGGTTGTATCAGAAAGAATTCCCGGACGAATCCGAAAAAAACTATGTTATGCAGAAAAATAAACTGAACAACTTTTGCCTCAGGGTCACATCGAAATTATGCACTTTAGTGGAAAAAAAATAAAATTTAACAATATTTTTATTATTTTTATTTTTTTAATTGTTTTTGGACCGGCCGGGCAAGTGATCCCGGGCCACTCTGGTAGCCTAGCTGGTACGGGCAACATAAGTGCATTTTTCTGTTTTTTTTTCGTTTTTATGAACTGGCAAGGTTGTGGCAACGACCTTCGTCACCCACATACAACGTACGGTCATGATTACTGTATTTAAGACTGAAAGATACCCAAAATACAGCCATAATGACCATACTTTGCATATTTGTTATAATAAGGTAGGCCATTCTCCTAGGGGTGCGCAAAAACCTCATCTGACGTGGATTAGGGCAAAACTGAAAAAACGGCAACTTGTCAC